CTGGACAGCGAGCCCACTGGAGACTGCCCACCAATCCTCTGCGGGCAATCAGAGCACTCTCTCTGAAGGCAGGCACCATACCTGCTCTCATGCTCCCTTCAGTAAACCACTCTATCGATACCAGACTTTCGTGTAGAAGTAAAGTGGCTGGTCAATACTCTAAATCTCCTATGCCTATGGATTCTTCATCTATTTAACAATTATCTCTCAAGTGTCCACTCTTCTTAGTGTCAGAACCAGAGGAAGCAAAAACTAGATCCTTTTCCCCATCAAGTGTTCATCCTGGTGTGAAGAGATAGGCAATAAACAAACAGCAGTCAAATGAGCAAACATCAGAAAATAAATATATTGAAGACAATTAAAATGAAAATAAACTGTTGTGATAGAGTGCCTGGGTGGCAACAGGGAAGGCCTTCTGATGAGGTGATGTTTATTTAATTGGCAAGAATTACGCTTTGTCCTGGGAGCTACTGTCTTTAAAAACAGACACAGATTTATTTTGTATGCTCCAGCTCTCACCTGATTTTCATTCCAAGTGCCTGTTTACAATGTGGATTTTTAATCCCAGAAGGTAGAGCTGGAAAGGACCCTACAAATCTTCTTAACCTCATACCTTGATTTTAGACACCAGGAAAGAAAGATCTAGAAAAGTGAGAAGAGTGGGTCACACAGCCAGTTAGGAGCATGGCTGAGAGTCCAGTCTCTTAGCCAATGTTTCTTCTACAAACCTAGATTCCTTTCCTGCTTATCTCCTTCCCCTTCCCCCTTTCTTTGAATTTATTGGAGTGACACTGGTGAACGCAATTATGCAGGTTTCAGATACACAATTCTACAACATATCATCAGAACAGTGTATTGTATGTTCACTACCCCAAGTTATCTTCCCAGTATCCATTTCCTCACAATAAGATCCTACCCTGGTGCCTGACTCTCTGGAGACCACAGATACTAAATCTCCCCTGGACCACAAGGAAGGACCTGCAGGAGTGGTATCAGGAATCCTGAGAATGCAAAACAATGCTGGGGCTTGGGTTACTGTGGAAGAAAGGTTCAACTTCCCACAGTGTGATTTCACCACATCTTAGACATGCCCTGGAACTGTGCCTGTCTCCTGCCACCCCTTCCTGCCCACCAGAGAGCCCTAACAAGAGCCTCCTAGTTTAGAACTTGTGTGGCTCTGTGAACTCAGTGAACACTAAAGATCTCTCCCCAGCAGTGTTCCCTGATTTAACCAAGTCAATATGAAAATATTCTATTCTGTGATTTCAACTCCTTTCCAAATGCTTTACAAAATGATTAACTACAGAATTTCTTTAAATAATAAGTTCCATTAGTATATTTAAAGTATAATCTATGAAAACTCAGCCTACACACAGATCTTATTTCCCACCATCACCAGAAGCAACAAAAACCCAGCTACTGTATCAAGGGCAATAGCATAAACTTGGATTCTTAATGATGGATTTTAGACTCTTGTGTTATGTAATGGTTCTCATTGATTGGACAAATATGTATTGAACTGCTCAATGTAACACACTCTCCCTGGCTGCTGTGGGGACACAATAAAAGACATCCTCTGGCCACCAGAAGCATGCATATACACAGCCCTAACATAGGCAGATGTGATGAGTGTTACAACAGAGATATGATCAAATGCTACAAGAGATGAGGGAGTAAGATTAAATTTTGGTCAAAGATCAGGGAAGGAGACAGCAACATTTTAATTGAGTTTCAAAGGTTGGTTATTATTTGTATGATTGTACAATTAATCCCGGAAAAGAAAACATCATGACATGTTGTACATATAAGGGCACATTTTCAGGACAGGGAGGAGTCCAGCATAGCTTGAAGGTAGACAGAAAACAAAGAAGAAGAGAAAGGTAGGAGTTGGAAGGTAGACCAGAGCCTTGAATGAAAGAGTAAAGTTTAGACCCAATCATAAACCACAGAACCTTTGAGTGGGTTTCGGACAAATTATGCTTTAGGAAGCCTATTCTGCATCCAAGTTTAAGGGTTGATCTGAATAGACAAATGTGGGAATCAAGAAACAAGAAGATATATATATATATATATATATATATATATATATATATATATATGATATCAACCATATTGTTCCTGGATAATAGAAAAAGTAAGGAATGCATTCAAGAGCTAGAATAAAGTTAGAAGTGATTTAAAAAAAAAGGGGGGAGGGGTGAACCAAATTCCAGGGACGAGAATCTAGTTTTGGAAAGGGGTGGAAACCACAGGCCTCAGATTCCAGCCTAAGGAAGAGAAGTCAGCACAAGTGACAGTAAGTGGTGTCTCTTTAAGAAAGGACAGTTTGAGATGCCCCATACTTGAGACAGTAATCATGAGTCTACTGCACAAAAGCTACCCCAGCTGGATGCCTTCCGATCCATGCCTGAAGCCTCAGTTATTAATAGCTCCTCTTCTGGAGATGTACAGAGTGCCTATTATACACGAGGGTCCCAGCATACTTGTTAAATTATTTTGTCTCTACAGCAGCAGTGAAAATCAGCTTGATTGGGATGAAGAGCAGGAGCCCAGGGAACAACCATTTCTGAACAAATGATAACTCAGAGGAAGGAGGGCAACTTTAATCAAGAACAGGAGGCATAATGTAAGCCTTATACTGTCCCTGAAATGAGGAAAAACATGACAGATGGAGGTCTTTCAATTTGAAGAATAAAGTCTGAGGTTCCACTACCTGAGTTACATATGCCCAGTTTCACAGGTGAGCTATCTGTCCAGGGCTCTCTATAACAAGGCCATAAATTTCAAGTTGATCTCTGGCCTCTTTTCCTGGCTACTCTGTCGAAATACATAACTTGGTTTCCATCTTAGTCAGTGTCACGCTGACATCTTAAAGCCTGCTCTCAGACTCTCCGTCCATGGAGTCTGTAGAAATTGCCTTAAATCAATGTTTCCCAATGTGTTTCACAGAATATGAATTTCAGGAACAAAGGGGTGTTGTGTTAAAATAATTTTTGGAAGTGACAAGTTAAATAATATAAAATGTTTGTCTTTGCTAAAATATACCTCTGAACCTTCAAATGCTAACATGTTCTGAGAATCAGGATGAGAAAGAGTAGGTAGCATCTCCCAACCTTATTTATCTGCAGAACCATTTTTCAGTAAAGCATCTCAAGGGACCAGGGTCCTGCAGAACACACTTTGAGAAATACCATGATGGCATTACTCTCAGGACCATTTGTACTTGAATAGGAATCAGAAACAATAATAAAAGCTAATACCTGTGGAATGCCTGCTATGTGCCAGGCACCTTTTCAAGTCGTTTACATCTATACTAATAAAAAGGTGATATGCTAATTAGACCGGAAAACCTTCTGGATGACCGTCTGGGGATTAATGGTGGAGCGCAGGCTGGGTGGGAAACATCTGCCTCTGCTCTGCCATTGATCCCAGAGCCACAGCAGGGTGGGCAGGGCCTCCATATGGGCTGGGATCAATGGTGAGCCCAGGCCTGGTGAGAAGGGCCTCCCTCTGCTCTGCCATTGGTCACAGAGCCCAGGACTGGTGAGCAGGCCTCCCGGAGGGCAGGGATTAATGGTGAGCCCAGTCCTGGTGGGAAACACCTTCCTCTGCTCTGCCATTGATCCCAGAGCCCAGGCAGGGTGGCCAGGGCCTCCCTCTGCACAGCATTGATCACAGAGCACTGGCAAGGTGGGCAGGGCAGGCAGGGGGTGGCAATTGATCACAGAGCATAGGCTAGGTGGAAAGGGCCTCCCTGTGAGTGGGGATTAATGGCAGAGAACAGGCTAGTGGGAAACACCTGCCTCTGCTCTGCCATTGATCCCAGAGCCCCAGCAGGGTGGGCAGGGCCTCTGTGTGGGCGGGGATCAATGGTGAGCCCAGGCCTGGTGGGAAGGGCCTCCCTGTGGGCCAGCATTAGTGGCAGAGTGCCAGCTGGGTGGGAAACACCTGCCTCTAGTCTGCCTTTGATCCCAGAGCCCCAGCTGGGTGGCCAGGGCCTCCCTCTGAGCATCATTGATAAGAGTCCTGGCAGGGTGGGCAGGCAAGTGGGGGGGGGGCAGTTGGAAGCAAGCAGGCTGATGGGGGGTGGGAGGGGAGGGTCAGTTGGGGGTGAGCAGACCTGCAGGCAGAGTGGTTAGGAGTGATCAGGCAGGCAGGTAGGCAGGTGAGCAGTGAGAGTTAGCGGTCCTGGATTGCGAGAGGGATGTCTGACTGCTGGTTTAGGGATTGGGGTCCCAGATTAGAGAGGATGCAGGGCCGGGCTGAGGGAGACCACCCCCCAGCCCTGCACAAATTTCATGCACTGGACCACTAGTATAAACATACTGAATCCTCATAACAACCCTGTGATAATGGTGGGTGCTATTACTATTCCCATTTTACAGATGATAAAGTGGGGGCAAGTGGTGAAGAGAACTATACAAGGTGCCTGGTTAGTAGAGGACCTGGGAATTAAACCTAGGCCATAAATTTCTAATGGTAGAATTCTTTTTTTTTTTTTTTTGCATTATTATTATTATTTTTTTAATGGTAGAATTTCAGACATTGTGATTAGCTGGCAGTGGGAGAGAGCCTGAGAAAAGACTTGCATGCAGGCCTCATCACTGTAAATCCACACCTGCCTGCTCATAAATTAGGCCTTCCCAGTGTACTGTGTAGGACACAACTTCTAAATTGTATCACTGACATGGTTTCTTCACCAAAATATGTTACATGGTACATGCATAACCTTTCTTTAAAACAAAGTCATGTTTCAGACAACACCATACTAATAAAAAGGGCAATACATAAAATAAAACAAAAAATTGTTTGATTAACCAATGTAGCAAGAAAATGAAGATAAGAATTTGAGAAATGGCTTCTTCTGTGTTCTCAAAGTATTGATTTCTTGCTCTCTGCCTCAGAGAGCAAAACCAAGAAACTGCTTTCATTTAATGTTTTGCAAACTTTCCACCCCTTCCACTCTAGTGTACTTGAGAATTGCCAAAGACATGTCCTACCCTCTCCCACTTCCTCTCCTTGTTCAGAAGGATTATCACCAGTTTCGGGTGCATCTGGTAGCCATCTTCACTGAAGGACAGATTTCTCCCCTCAAAAGTGACATTGATCAGATACCTGTGAAAATAAAATAAAAGAAAGGTTAAAAGTATGAAGAAAGTATGTCAAGAACAAGATAGTTAGGAAGAAAGAGACAAAGGTGGATGGAGATAGATACATAGATATATAAATATATGTGAGAATGTGGTACCCCTCAAACTTTTTTTAAAAATATATTTTATTGATTTTTTATAGAGAGGAGGAGTGAGGGATAGAGAGCTAGAAACATTGATGAGAGAGAAACATCGACCAGCTGCCTCTTGCACACCCGCTACCAGGGATGTGCCCGCAACCAATGTACATGCCCTTGACCGGAATTGAACCTGGGACCTTTCAGTCCGCAGACCGATGCTCTACCACTGAGTCAGACTGGTTTTGGCATCCCCCTCAAACTTTTCATTACCAATAGAGTCATCAAATTTTCACATCATAGGAATAATATCTACACTAATAAAAGAGAAATATGCAAATTGACTGTACCTTTGTGATGCCCACCAGCCAATCAGGAGTGAGTATGCAAATCAACCCAATAAATATGGCAGGCTAATTTGCATACACAGAAGCAAGAGGCCAGTGGTGGGAAGGAATGCCCATTCTTGCACTAAACTTCATGCATCAGACCTCTAGAGAGAATATAATAGTCTAAAATAAGGGCACCATGTTTGAATTTTGGTCTATAGCTATGACTTTGAGCAAATCACTTAGGCTTTTGAACATCACTCTTCTTCCTTATCTACAAAAATGGGATAATAAAGAAATTTACTTTATTCAGTTTATTTGGCTTAAATGTGATAACTCACCATGGGACCTAGTACATAATGTACCCTCATTATGTTAACAATTATTTTTAAAAGCAGTAGAATAAAGGTGGTAGAAACAAGAAAAGAAAGTGGGAATGTACCATGACAACTTTCTGCTAAGAAAGGTGGCATATTGGAGCTTAGGGTCTCACTTCCTACCAGAGATATTCATAGGCTTTTGAACTCTTGCTAAGATCCAGCTTAGTCCATACTTCTAAGAAATGTGAGATGAATCGAGCAGTCAGGGATCTGGTTCATACGATGCACCTAGGAACCAGGACTATTGTACTGTACACTGTGAACAGAAAATGCTGGGGGCAAAGGGAGAATAAGGGAGAGGCATTTCACAGAGAGTTCTAGGCATAGGCTCATTGCAGAAACTCTGGAAATAACTAGAGTCAGACAAATGAAATTCTTTTTCCACAACACCTGCACTTATACTCCACCTTTTTGGCCACTCCGATCTGTTGAAGAGTTCCCTTATTGGGAATTTCTACAGGCATGCTCATTACAACCAAATTAGTTCAACTGTGCTGACAGTAATTAATGTCCCTTTACCATAATGGCCCAAAGAATCAATAATGATTAGCTCTGTGTCTACAAGACATGCTATTCTGGAGCCTCAGCCTGATGCAACTGTGAGATGTGTCTCTGCTAAGAAGCAAAGAGTGTATCTTATCACTGACATGAGGTCCTAAAGGGCTTTGGAGATATGGCCAACAATGATTTCCTAATATTACACTGAAGGGGAGAAGAAGAAAGCATCAGGAGGCAACTTAAAGTTATGTTAATTGAATTATCTTAAGCAAATGATGATTAAATATCTAAATGGTCCTTGGCAAACAAACAGTTCTCCATTTCTGGTTTAGGCAATGATAAAGATGACTAGGCATCATAAGCCAAACTCTCATGGATCTCTTCTCACTTCTAGGGCTTCCTGGGATTTTTTTAAGCCTCTCATTCTCTGGTCTTGTATAGCTTCACAAATGTAACCAGAAAGAACTCTTAAGACCTAAGAGTAGAGATCCTAGAATCTCAGAATTCAAAGAAACATACATAATCAACTAGCTCAGCACTTCTTGCAGTTTATACTTCCTATCTATAGCATCATACACTTAGGCCTCACAGCTCTTTTTGAATACTCCCACTGATAGGGAGTTCATCACTACTCTCCACCCTTAGGGTAGCCATCTCACTGCTGCCCTGCAAGTCCTTGAGCCTGGTCTCCTCCTTAGATATTGTACAATTTTGGTCTAAACCTTCTTTTGCATGAGAGCTCTTGAAGTATTTGAAGACATTTATCATGCATCCCTTATAAATGAATTTTAATCTTCGAAGAAAGCTTAAGCTCATTTTAGTTGCACACTTTTAAGGAGATTGATAAGAGGGGTCAGATTATTTGCCCAATGATCCACAGCTAATTGGAAGCAGAAATAACATTTTAAGCCACATTTCCAGTCCCATATCCTTTCTCCCATAACATCCTGATTCTCAGATGCCACACTGAGTTTATTATCCCCAGGTCCTTGATGTAGTTATCATATGCTATGGTTTCAAGTTCCCTCTATTATCCCTTGGCTGCTCTCTCTGGGACCTTCCAATTGATAAAAGTGCAGCACCACAAATTCAACCCAATGCTTCACATGGCATGCATCTCCTCCATATCCTGCACTGCTCCTCATCTCTCACTCAGTGATGCTTGCTCAAACCCATAACTAGTTAGAAGATAACAGTCATGTCTCCTATAGTTTTCAACAACTTCAACCAAATCCCTATATCATTCATTTCAGGGAATATTATTACAAAGGTATAAAATAAAATATTTTAAACAAACAAACAAACCAGAATTTGAGTACTCAACATAATTTACTTGGGAAATATGTTGTTACTACAAAAACACTGCATTGCTTAGAATAATTTCTAGAAATATTGAGAGGTTTATAAGATACAACAATTTTACTTTCATCTCTTTTAGGAGAAAACAATAAAGGGGAAGAAGAAGGAGGAAGAAGAATGGGAAAGAAGAAGGGAAGAAGGGGAAACAGAGAGGGAGGGAGGAAAGGGCAATTAGAAGGGGAGAAAAGGAAAGAGGGAAAGGGGAGGGAGATAAATAAATTACCTCTATTTTCTGAATAATTCTGACTTTATCTAAAATAGCACTGAGAGTATTTAAAAGAAAGTGTTCACTTCAGAAGGCAATTATAAAAGTGAAGTTCAAGAAATAATTTAAGTAATAGGCAGCATGAATGGAATAAGTATATAGCCTCTCATGATAATTTCTTTGAAGGGGACAGCATTGAATTCAGTGTATTCATTGAGAAATTCAAACTTTGAGAAAATAAAATGCAGTAACGAGCAATGTAATTAAACTATAGTTAAATTTCTTTAGTTATTTCTGCTCCAGATCCTCTGATTTTCCTTATACACATTTTTCTTTCTGAGACATTCATCTTCTTCCATCTCTACAGCTTCATTGTATTTTATCTAGGTATTTTTGCATATTTTACATTCATCAAAAATATTTTTAGAATTGTATGATAATATAGAAAATATTATTCTCCAAAATATTTTTAATTATTAATATCCTTTAGCATTACTTAGATTAATCATTCAAATTGTATTTTTTTTTTCTGAGTAATTTCCTCTGACATGCCAACATTTAGCTATTAGTGAGGAGCTTACAAATATTTATCTGCCTTGCACAAGGATGCCCTTTGAATAGCAGAATGAACCAGACATTCATTGGTAATGAAAAGTGTGGTCATTTCTAGACATGTGATCTTGGCATCTGAACCTCAGCTTTTTTTCTTTAAAATGGAAATACCATTTTTACTTACAGTTTATCAGATAAGGCTATTGTGATGACCACATGAAACAGTGAATAAGAAGACTATGTAAAATATGATATAAATATAAGCTTGTACAATAAAAAGATGCTCAGAAAAAGAATACAGTGGCATGATTTGATTACCTATCTTATTTTGGACCTTGGGAAAAGTGTGTGATTGCATTTAACAAGACTCAATTATCAATGGAACACAGTGGAGGAATGAAGATTGCATTCCACATTTGGAAGATACACCAGGTCAAGTGGTGATATTAATCAATTTAACTTTCCATAAGACATGAAATCTCCCAACCACCTTTGGATCTGACTGCACCTTGTCAATTTTGAATATGACTTAAAGCCTTAACAGTTCCATGCGTAAACCCTTGCTAAAAGGGGTAACCTATAAGATTTAGAGAAACCATTGCTATTTTGTTTTAATTTAAATGTGTTATCCTATCTTCAGTATGCAACCATAAAACCTAGTTTCAAGTAGCAGCCAAATTCAGAAGGCCTGCCTTATCAAGGTTTGGTATATAAAAACTAGTGCTTGATTTGTCTCCAGGATGTACTTTGACCAACAAGAACCCTGACGGCCTGTCTCAAAAGTTCTAACATTACACAAATCTCAAGTTTCTAGAACTAGAAGAAAACTCAGAAATTATCCATTGCTAACTCTACTTTTAGAAAGGAGAAAATAGGTCCTAAGTTGCTACCCAACTTTCCAAAGTGAACTTGACCTGCTTGTTTAGGACTTCTGATAGTCAGTTCATGGTTCTTTCTGCTGCATCACCAAGAGAAGTGAAATCAGGTTTGCAGAGCCCCAGATGTGCATTTTAGCATTCTCATGTCACATATGCCCTGGACTAGTAGATCCCTAATATGGACTGCATAAAATAAAATCCATCTCATTTCCCCCTTGACAGGAGTGCTTATAAAGAACCTCGGGACCCTGAAGGGCTCAGAGACAATATATTTGATTTTTATTGCCAAAGTCATACTCCAGTAGGTTTAACGGGGTTAAGCTGAAGTGAAAAGGCCTTATGTCTCTTTGACTTTGACCATGACACTCAGAACTCATCCACTGCACCACGTTGATAGCAATGATTTAGCAGTATACCCCATGTGGGAGGTGTCCCAAAGGGCTCAGCTAGAATTTTCCCAGCAAACCAAGATCTCTGGCACCAATAATACTCATTTTGCCTTCCATAGGCACAAGGCTCTAGATTTTTTAAAAAATATTTATTATTTTTATTGATTTCAGAGAGGAAGGTAGAAAGATAGCTAGATATATCAATGATGAGAGAGAATCATTGATTGGCTGCCTTCTGCATGCACCCTACTGGGGATTGAGCCCACAACCCAGATGTGCCCTTGGCCGGAATCGAACC